TAACATTTCAACTCTTAAAATTAGTTCTATTTGGGATTTAACATTGTAACAACTTGGAGATAGCATAAAATATAAACTTATTTTTAATCATTTTCTTAAAAATTCTAATTAAAAGGAGAACATGGTTCTGAAACTAAACTATATCAATAATGTAATGGAACTCTTGGATGACTGAAAAAGGAATACAGAACAAAGAGATAAAAGACTTTTTAAAGTTATGAAAATAACTCACTCTGACCCCAATCACCTCTATATTTCATAGAGGGGAAGAATTGCATAGAATATAGTTCTTTAAAATAACAGGTAATCTAAAAATAATTCACACTTACATTCTGGGAATTCACAACTTTTTAAGTAAAATATTGAACTATAACTTAAAGAAAATCATTTGGAAGAATGTCAATTGAATTCAAGTTAACAAGCATTTACTGAATACCTAGGAGGGGCTAAGTAGTTTCTGGAGGTATAAAGAATAATAAGACCAAGGTTTCAGCCCCTGAGAATTACAGTCTCCAGGGAAAATCAGATGGGTAAATAAAACCTTCTAGCAAATGTGATGTCAGCTGTAATCTATTTACATACCACATAGTGTTACCAGGGCACAGATGAGCAATTAATTAATTCCGCATAGTTTGAGGGATTCAAGGGAAGCTACAGAGAAAAAACCTGAGATTCGTCTTCAGAAAGGAGTTCACGTGGTAGAGAAATGTGGAAAGTGCATTCTAAGAAGTGGCATCGTGGTCAACGATGTGTGTGCAGGATAGAGTGTGCTGCCGAGTAAGTTGGCTTGGAGCTTAGGACATTGATTCTTAAGAGAATCCATCTTTTGAGAGTCTTCTATAGAGTTAACTGAATATGGAAGGTGTCGTACTTCTAAACACACAATTTCGTTAGGTCTAGGATGTGGTTCAAGGATTTCTTTAAAATGCTCTCAGATAATTTTAATGCCCATCCGTTTTGATTCAGTAGATCTAGATCAGTGATATCATAAACAAGTATTTTCCGTTAGTCTGCTGAAGCATGTCTCTGGAACCATTGATGAAGCATTAGTTTATGTTGTTCAGAGAGGGGAAATGACTTAAATTGAGGCTGTAAATCTCAGCTAGGACAATAATATGGAAGAATTAGTATTTCATGCTAAGGGGGTTGGTCTTTATTTAGTAGGCAATGGAAAACTACCAAAGAGGCAGTCCCTTAAAACCACCACCCTGAATTTAACTCTCATTTATGCAGATTGCCTCAGCTGGACGGTACTTCTGATGGTGGCTAGGCTTCCTCATGCATCTGTGGCCAGATGTGGGCGGGGTCAGCAGCTTTGCTTATCTTTGGTGCCTCAACTAGAACAAAGGGGTTAACCCAGCTCGGCCTCCTGTTGGTTCTCATCTTCTAGAGCGAGCGCTTCTCCGGATTTGTTCTTACAGTAGTGGCAGGAGTCCAAAAGAGAGTGGAAGCATCCAAGGGGTCTTGACACTTAGACTCGTAACTGACAAACACTAATTTTGACACATATTATTTGTCAAAATAAGACACAAGGGCCACCAGTTCAAAGAATAGGGAAGCAGACTACTTCGGATTTTTTTTCTTTCACTTTTAATTTACTATTAGTCGGGAGTTAATATATCATATCATTCCATAGTTCGATCACATCAAGCAGCATTGTAAAATTGCTACCACAGTCACTTTCTTAACATTCTTTTTCTTCCTGGATTCCTTGACATTGTCTCCCTTTTACCCACCACCACCACTGTACTGCCTCCCCACCCCCGCTGAACCACTATTCTACTTGCTGTCTCTGTAGGTTCATCAATCCTGGTTTTATCTACTGAAACACAGAAAAACAGCACAACTTCAAGAGGGTGACCTCCAATGACATAACGCCTCTGAGATACACCCCAATATGAACTAACGACATCACGGAAAATATTGAAAACCAACTCACAAGATTGTAACTGTTCAAGTCAGATTTATGCTGTTGACCTTCTAACTCATCTCTTCAATGACCTCTGTTTAGTAATCACTGTCCTCCCATCCCACCATGATGGACAGAGGGAGTTCACTGGAGGCTTATTTTCCTGTGTAGTTCCTACAAATGTGTCTGGGGCTCCCACTGTCACCCAGAGCCTTCTGCAAACCAGAGGAAGACAGCCAACTATTCATCTGGGCCATGGTTGCCTATTCCTTCCCCACAGAAGTCAGCGCAGCTCTCTTTACTGTATTCTCCATGTTCAAAGGTAAAGCCCTTAGAAGGGCCTATTGTGCAAGTTAGTAATTCAGTAGATGGCTGTACCTTTCCTCCCCTACTTTTAATCAGGATAGAGCTGTTCCCATAACTCTGTTTTAGGAAGTTGCTATTGACAGCAGTGTTGAAAACTGATTCGAAGTCATGGAGGCTGAAGAAAAACTATGTACAACCTTGAGAAGAATGGGCATTGCAAATCACTTCATTGTGCTCATTCAGAACTTGTACATGGATCAAGAGGGAGTTGTGCAAACAAAACATGAGAATATTGCATAGTTCAAAATCAAGAAAGTTTTCTGTCACGATTTTATCCCCTTACTATACCTATTCAATTTGTACACTGAGTAAGTAATCACAGAAACTGGAATATATGAAGTATAATATGGCATCAGGATTGGTATGGCTTATTAGTAACTTGTGATGTGCAGATGACACAACCTTGCTTGCTGAAAGGGAGCAGGACTTGAAGCACTTACTGATGAAGATCAAGGATTGTAGCCTTCAGTATGAATTATGACTATATGAAAAGAAGACCAAAATTCTCACAACTGGACCTCTAGGTAAAATAAACGGAGATAAGACGTATGGAGAAAAGGCTGAAGTTGTCAAGGATTTTATCTTGCTTGGCACTACCAGCAGTGCTCTTGGAAGCAAGAGATCAAAAGACTCAGTGCATTAGGTAAATCTGCTGCTGTAAGACCTCTGTAGAGTATTGGAAGTTAAGGATGTGATTGACTCAAGCCACGGTATTTTCAGTTGCCTCGTATGCATGTGAAAGTTTGACATTGACTAAGTTAGACCAACGAAAATGCCACTGGATCCACAAGACTTCCCACCCACTGGGCTGCGACCTTTCTGCATTCGGTGTCATTGCGTATGTTCCATGAGTTTAACGAGGACATTATAGATTTGTATAAGACATGTGGGCTAATTATCAGACTTATGGACTTGATCTGGACTGAGCTGGGCTATTTTCTCAATGTTCAATTGCTCTTATATATAAAGCTCTTTCTTATACACATAAGTGTCTATGGATTTGTTCCTCTAGTCTACCCAGAGTAACACAGCAGTGGAAAAAAAAGAAGACCTTCAGCAAGATGGAATGACACAATGACAACATAGGAACACTTGTGAAGATGGCACGGGACTGGGCCGGGTCTATTTTCCTGTTTTGCATAGTGTTGCTATGGGTCAGATCTAACGTGGTGGCATCTAACAACAACAAAAGGCTCTAAATCTTGATGGGAACAGATAGCCTCATCTTTCTCATGTGGTGTGGCTGCTATGTTTGAACCCACAGACCTTGTGTTTAACAGTCCATTGCTTATGTATATATACACAAATAAACCAAACTCAGTGCCATTGATTCTATTCGGACTCATAGTGATCCTATAAGGACAGAGTAGAACTGCCTCTGTGGGTTTCTAAGACTATATAACTATTTTTTTAAGAAATCATTTTATTGGGGACTTTTACAGACCTTAGAACCATTTGTGGCAGATACATAAATTCCTGTCAAGTTGAGAAGGAGTGGAGTTGAGCCTGTCAATTGGGTCATAGCCAGTGAGGTGTCTGTGTGGGCCTGGTCTTCTCCTGAGGATTCTGGGAACTCCTATCTTCCTCCCGGCTGGTGGAACACTCTCTATGAGACATTCCTGATGACAAGACTCATGGAGCCTCGCTGATGTGGAGACCCACACCAGATGCTTCTACCACCATTGAATCCACAAGCCTTTCCCCGCGCTGGCCTGTGATCTTCCTATATTTGGCATCATTGCATGTGTTGCATGAGTCTGAGAAGGGATTTATGGACTTGGTATCAGACATATGGACTTGATCTGGACTGGGCTGGACTGTTTCCTTAATATACAATTACTCTGTGATATCAAGCTCTTTCATATACATATATGAGTCTCCCATGAATTTGTTTCTCTAGTGTACCTGAACTTACACACAATCTATTCATCAGTTGTCAAGCACATTTGTATATATGTTGCCATCATCATTTTCAAAACATTTTCTTTCTACTTGAGCCCTTTGGTATCAGCTCTATTTTTCCCCTCCCTACCCAATCCTCCCACCCTCATGACCCCGTTGATAAATTATAAATTATCATTTTCATATCTTACACTGTCCACTGTCTCCCTTCACTCATGTTTCTGGTGTTCTCCCCCCGGAGCGGGAGTGGGGGGTGGGGGTGGGATGATACGTCAATCATTGTGAGACTGCAATTCTTAACAGGAATAGAAAGCCTTAAATCCATATATGGTCCTGTTGCATATATGCAGAGAAGTTTTTATCAAGGAAATGCCCCACACAATTGCAGAGGCTGGCAAGTTCCAAGCGCACGGGTCAGATTCAGGCTGGACATTTTTCCTGATTCATGTAACTGCAGGGACTGATGGACCCAATATCCTCCTAGCGCCGTTCCCTCCCACCACATCCCTCTCCCTTATCGCTCTTTGCCCCTGCTGGGTCCCTTGCCTGAGCCTCCTTCATCACTGCCCTCTCCGTTGGCTCTGACCCCACCCCACTCCAGGACTCACGCCTACCTCCCTGTCTGGTCCCGGAAGAGAGCCAGGCAGCAGCTGAGCAGATCTGAGAAAGTCAGGTGCCGCGGACTCTGTGCTGTCCGGAGCTGGTCTGAAGACGTGATGCCAACACCCCCTGCCTCCTGTGCCACAGCCGCCCACTGAGAGACCCAGATAGAGCCCAGAGCCTAGTGGTGGCAGCGGCAACTTTGATTGCAGCAGACACTGCCATGGATGGTAAGTTTCCCCAGCCGGAGCCCCGGCCTGAGCCCAGCGTCCAGGATGACCAGCCTCCCCTGCAGCGCCCCCTCTGCAGCTCCAGTGTTGTGAACACCATGCTGCCCTGCTCGGGGTGGGACAGCAGGGTCCCTTCAGCACCTTCCCCAGGCTGCCCCAGAGACAGCCAAGAGTCTGGGACCTCTGTCTCCAACCCGTACCCAGCTGTGGGGGGTCAGCTCAGCCCTGAGACCAGCTATGTTGCCACCTATGACCGCAGCAGCTTCCTACCAAAGAGCAGCCACATCAGTGAGGACTCCTCAAGCCTCAGCAATGTCTCCAATACTTCCATCCTGCCCTCGTCCGCGGACAACCTCTTAGACATGATGGACACAGCCCACTCCCTGCCCACTGATGGCCTCGGCCAGGTGCCCACCATGTGGGAGGTGAGCACCACCTCACCCGCCCAAGACAAGTTTTCCTTGCCTAGTGGGCCATTCCGGGGCCTCCCAAACGCCTTGCCCACCCTCCCTTCCCCTCCTGGCCACCTTAGCTCCCAGGCACAGAGCCAGCTGGAGGAGGAGGAGGAGGAGGAGGAGGAGGCCGAGTTCGAGGAGGCTGATGAGCTGGGTCACAGGGAGATCTATGCTGACTATGTGCCCTCCAAGTGCAAGATCGGGAAGCACCACCCAGACCGAGTCGTGGAGACCAGCACCCTGTCAAGTGTGCCACCACCTGATGTCACTTATGTGCTGGCTCTGCCTGCCTCTGTCGTGGACAGTGGGGTGCTGTCTGCCCTGCAGCTCGAGGCCATCACCTATGCCTGCCAGCAGCACGAGGTCTTGCTCCCCAATGGGCAGCGAGCTGGCTTCCTCATTGGCGACGGGCCTGGCGTGGGCAAGGGCCGCACAGTGGCCGGCATCATCTTGGAGAACTACCTGAAGGGCAGGTACAAGTCCCTGTGGTTCAGCGTCTCCAATGATCTAAAGTACGACGTGCAGCGAGACCTGTGCGACGTGCAGGCACCCGGCATCGCTGTGCACACTCTCAGCAAGATCAAATATGGTGACGCCACTCCCTCCGCGGGCGTCATCTTCGCCACCTACTTGTCGCTAATTGGGGAGAGCCTGGTCGGCCGGCAGCACCGCACGCGCCTCCAGCAGCTCCTCCAGTGGTGCGAGGCCACCTTTGATGGGGTCATCGTATTTGACGAGTGCCACAAAGTTAAAAACGCCAGCTCCACCAAAATGGGCAAGGCCGTCCTGGACCTGCAGCACAAGCTGCCACTGGCCCGGGTCGTCTATGCCAGTGCCACCGGGGCCTCGGAACCCCGGAACATGATCTACATGAGCCGCCTGGGCATCTGGGGGAAGGACAGGCCTTTTAACACCTTTGAGGAGTTTCTCCACGCCATCGAGAGGCGGGGTGTGGGCGCCATGGAGATCGTGGCCATGGATATGAAGGGCACCGGCACGTACATCGCACGCCAGCTCAGCTTCTCCGGGGTCACCTTCCACATCGAGGAGATCGCGCTGGCCCCAGCCTTCGAGCGCGTCTACAACCGTGCGGCCCTGTTGTGGGCCGAAGCCTTGGCCTCATTCCAGCAGGCGGCCAATTGGGTCTGCCTGGAGTCGTGCAAGTCCCTGTGGAGTCAGTTCTGGTCGGCTCATCAGCGCTTCTTCAGGTACCTGTGCATCGCTGCCAAGGTGCACCGTCTGGTCCAGCTGGCGCGCCAGGAGCTGGCCCAGAACAATTGCGTGGTGATTGGGCTGCAGTCCACGGGCGAGGCGCGGACCCTCGAGGTGCTAGACGAGAATGATGGGCACCTGGATGGCTTCGTCTCTGCGGCTGAAGGTGTCTTCCTGGCGCTCATCCAGAATCACTTCCCGTCCCCTAAGGAGAGCAACGAGCGAGTTGACAGAGGCAAGCGCAAGCGGTGGTCACAGGGCAGTGGACCCAAGTCATCCCGGCTGCTGGGCCAGGTGGTGGGCGTGATGGGCACTTGTGACGGCAGCGGCAGCACAGTGGCAGGCGCTGGCCCAGATAGCAATTTCCTCGCCAACCCCGACTCCCAGGCCCATGAGGTCAGGGTGGAGGCACAAGGTCTCTCTGTTGACTACAGAAGCCCCCGCTGCCCCCCACAGGGAGACTCGCAGGACCGGGGCTTGCTGGAGCCCCTGCAACGCCTGAAGCAGGACCTGCTGGACAAGGTGAGAGACCTGGGTCGGGAGCTGCCGGGCAACACCCTGGATGAGCTCATTGACCAGCTTGGAGGCCCCAAAGCTGTGGCGGAGATGACTGGCAGGAAAGGACGGGTGGTGTCCAGGCCCAATGGGACAGTAGTCTTTGAGTCTCGGGCAGAGCAGGGCTTGTCCATTGAGAACGTCAACCTAGTGGAAAGGGAGCGCTTCATGAACGGCGAGAAGCTCGTGGCCATCATCTCCGAGGCGTCCAGCTCGGGTGTGTCCCTCCAAGCAGACCGCCGGGTGCTAAACCAGAGGCGGCGTGTCCACCTGACACTGGAGCTGCCCTGGAGTGCAGACCGAGCTGTCCAGCAATTTGGCCGCACTCACCGCTCCAACCAGGTCTCGGCGCCCAAATACGTGTTCCTCATATCGCAGCTGGCAGGTGAGCGGCGATTCGCCTCTATCATAGCCAAGCGCCTGGAGAGCCTGGGAGCGCTGACCCATGGAGACCGCCGCGCCACCGAGTCCGGGGACCTGAGTAAGTACAACTTCGAGAACAAGTACGGAACACGGGCCCTGCACTGCGTGCTCAGCACCATCCTGAACCAGACAGAAAACAAGGTGCCGGTGCCCGTAGGCTACCCTGGAGGGGATGCGGCCTTTTTCCAGGAAATGAAACAGAGCCTGCAGTCGGTGGGCATAGGTGGCCGAGAATCCAGGTTGGGCTCCCTTGATGTGGTGAAGGACTGCTCCATCCCCAAGTTCCTCAACCGCATCCTGGGCCTGGAGGTACACAAGCAGAACGTGATCTTCCAATATTTCTCAGACATCTTCGACCACCTCATTTCGGAGGACAAGAAGGAGGGCAAATACGACATGGGCATCCTGGACCTGGCCCCGAAAGTGGACGAGATCTACGAGGAGAGCCAGCAGGTATTTCTGACCCCTGGCCAACCCCAGGATGGCCAGGTGATCTTCTACAAGATCACGGTGGACCGTGGCCTGAGTTGGGAGAAAGCCTTCGCCAAGTCCCTGGAAATGACGGGCTCCCAGGATGGCTTCTACCTCTCCCACAAGGTCCGCGGCAACAAAATCAATTGCCTGCTGGCTGAGCAGGACCGCAGCAATCACTTCACCGTGTACAAGCCTAACATCGGCCGGCAGATCCAAGCGGAGACCCTGGACGGCCTCTTTCGTAAGTTCTACCCAGTCACGGCCACGGAGGTTCGGGATTTCTGGGAGAGAAACTATGCTTTCGCACTGACACACTGCAGCCACACAGCCCGGAACCGGCCCTGCCGACTAGTCCAGGAAGGCAAGGACTGTGTGCAGGGCCTGCGCCTGCGCCACCACCACTTGCTGTGCGGGGCCCTGCTGCACGTGTGGACCCGCATTACCGCCATCCTGTTCAAGGTCACCAACAGCACCTACCTGCAGATCGTGCGCCTCAAGACCAAGAATGAGAAGAGGCAAGTTGGCATCAAGGTCCCCGAGAGCTGTGTGAGCTATGTGCTGCAGGAGCTGCAGCAGATGGATGCCGAAGTCAAGCGCAAACGCCAGTGTGAGAGCAGCCCGGGCCTCCCTGCTTCACAGCCACACACCCCACCGAGCCCTCGGCCGATGCCCTGCTGGCCGGGCAAGGTGCTGGACCTTACCTATAGCCCGCCACCCGTGCCCTTCCCTCCGCTGCCCGCTGAGCTACCCCGTGCCCCTAGCCTGCTACTGGGTACCCCTGACCCCTCAGCACCTCCCCCAGACCCCGTTGACATGCAGCAGAGCAGCTGTGAAATCAACTTCAAAGAGGTGCTGGAGAACATGCAGCGTTCCCTGCAGACCGTGCCAGCTGCTGAGCCCCTGGCCCAGCAGCCGCTGCAGGGGTCAGCTGGGGTCCAGAGCTCTGGCGTGTCCTCCAATTCGGAGCACCCTTCCCTGACTCCTAGGCGAGCCCACAGCCCTGACCTGGGTCACTTTCAAAGGCCTATTTATGTGCCAAGTGTCCCCCCATGGGGCCGGGGTGCAGAGCAGTGGTCCCCTTGGATGGGAGGCAGGGAGCTGCTGCCCATCCACCTACCCCACAGGATCCCACTTCAGGGCCGTCCCAGGCTGACCCTCCAAGGGCCAGCTCCTGTGGACATGCCCCTTGCCCCCGTGGCCCTGTTTAGGGGGCTGTCAGGGACTCCAGAGGCCACCCAACTCAGGATTGGGGGTGAGTATGCAAGGGGTCAGGAAGGCCCTGGGGGTTGGGGCCCAGGACCTTCTGTGCCTCTTTCCTCTCCTGACCCCTCCAACCCTGATGGCAGGCACCCTGAACAGGGGCCTCCCTGATAGACCTTCCTATGGTCACACCCTGTCAAACTGGGTGGTCCAAGAGCTGGAGACTCAGGAAACCCCAGGTGCTCAGGGTCAATGACTCCCCTCCCCCCTTAATATATGCAATCCCCTGAGCCTCTTATTCCCCAAGTTATTGCATTGCCTGGCTGCCCTCCAGGCCTGGAAGTTCCCTGGGGTGGGGTCTTTCTATCAGACAGTATTTATAATAAGTCATGTGTAAGAAGGTAAAGAGAATTTTAAATATACATCCTTTTGAGCTGCACAGGCAAATAAAAACAACCCTGGCAGGTTAGATGGCAAGTTTCTGATGACACAATTGGCAGATTAAGAAGGCAAACTGGTTACCGGAGTGGATGATTCCAAGGTCAGCAGGTAAGATTGGGGGGCTTCTGACAATTCCCAGGATAAGCAGGCATGACAGGAGGCCTTAATGATCCAAAGAACCTTAATGATCAAATCCAAGGAACCTTAATGATCACAGTTGCTATCAAGGTTCCCTGGCTTAAAGGCAAGAAAGATTGTGATTTGGGGGAATATGCTGTAATGAAACCCAATGTGATTACTAAAGTTTTATATCACCTTTAATTGTTGGGTTATGATCAAGTGTGCAGGTTGTGACTTTAAATGAGAGGGCACACTGTTGGTCGAGCAGGAGCTACAATGTATAGCAGGGAGTATTGTGACTATTTATTGAACACCTAGACCAGCTGTTCTCAACCTGTGGGTCGCAGACCCCTTTGGGGGTCAAGGACGTTTCAAAGGGGTTGCCTAAGACCATCTGAAAACACACATTTCTGATGGTCAGGAACTGAGGCACAGCTCCTCTATCCATCTCCATTGGGGTCCACCCACATGCAGATACACCCTCATAAGAGTACCTGGCTCACCTGAGTGAGGACGGTACGATATTAGCAACACATTTTGTACAGGAGAAAACAGAAAAGGTCCCCGCCAGCTAAGTCTGCTGACTGTCTCGTGACTTTTAGCATGCTCTTCCTTTCCCACTTTGGGTACTGAGCATCAAAGCATATAAAACAGGTGTTTGTTTCACCGGTCCTATTAAGACATCAAAATTGCACACATCATCTGCTTATCAGTGTTGATCAAATAATATGGATGGTAATGAATTTCATAACCTTAAGGTTATCATTGAACTTTTTAAAACTATAAATCTATAAAATATCAATCAATTGAATCCTAAACTCTATTCTACCTACTCCAAAATTATGAGTCTAAAGTTAAATTGTGAATATAATAGCATTTTAAGGAGTTTTAGCTCCTCTGCATGAGCCAAGATTAATCAAGTAGAAGACTTGCTAAATAGAGGCATATCTCCTTTCTTTCAAATCTACCTTTACCTCAAAGAAACCCGCTCATCTCTTTCTGGATGCTGTTCTTTGTATTGCTGCTGTATCAAAGGGAAAAGTCAATCCCCCTTTATCTGGAGTTTCTTTCTCTGATCCTTGATGATGGTTAGAGCAAGTGAAGAGAAATTCCTTTGGGTGACAGTCACGCTCCTCAACATGGGCAGAGACAGACAAAACTGAAAAGCCAGGGGACAGAGGAGTTGAGAAAGCACATGTGAAAGTGGATAGTGCATCACAACAGGGAGAGAAAAGTCGCGCAGGAAAGGGTGACTTATACGCAGACCATCATGCCCTTTGCAGACCCAAGAATTCCCAGCAGCAGCAGTGAAAGAGAACTCATCTTGGCTCAGCAAAGAGGAGAACATTCATGAAATGCCAGCTTAGAAAAAAGGGGTATTAGTCCCAGAGAATTACTGTACTTGGGGGTTTCTAAAAGTTTCTGGGAAAAATAGTATAACAAGATAATGGAACTCTTTCACAAACTTTTAGAAGCCCCTTTTTATACTGTTGATTTTCAATGCAGATAGCTACACTTCCATTTCTTAAATCTCAAGCCATAATTAGACATGTAAACAGCTTACTTGTGCACAAACTAATTTCTCTTTCCTTTTTTTTTAAATGGATTGTTTCTCTTGAGCCACCAGATTGTCGTTGTGCCAACTGCGGGATCTTTTTGTAGTTTATTAATATGTTGTAAAAAATACATTGCTAAAAATACTAATGTTGTGTCCTGCCTTTGTTCTCCTTCCCCATAGATAATACTGAGCACTTGGCATTTCACTTAAAGAGACTGTTGTGATCTATCTGCAAGATATGGACTCTTTCTATATTGCTTCTAAAATGTCTTTCAAAGTGTCATCATATGCATTAAGAACTTTAAGTGGGTTGAAAAACATAGGGGTCAAAGTTTAGTAGGATGGTATCTATTTTCTGGATATCGAAACAAAGCTCTAAGAGTTTCTGAATCTTCCCTAAGATTATCCAGCCTGTGGAGATTAGAACTTTCAATACCAGATCTGGTCAATTCCAGAGTGCAAGCTCTTTTTGCCACTGTATTTTATATTAAAAGAGAACGCTCCCAAAAGAACAGCAACAACAATACTAATAATAACTGATGAGATGGGTAATGAGTTTCACGAGGACTACTGAACCTGGTGATTGTACTTAGTATGACATGTTAATAGAGAACAAATAACCAATACCTCTACATCTTTTCAGTAACTAAGAAAAGAAAACTTTTTTTAAAGACACAGGAAAAATAAATAAAAAACTTTAGACAACAGGAAAATGTATCTATATAAAAGGGAGGAAATGTTTCTACTGTAAGCATGTGAAAGCCCTAGAGAACTAGACTGATGGACATGTCTCTTCCCGGAGCATTGCACGCTCAATATGGAGAGGCTCCCTTGTAACCTGCCTGGAGAGAATCCACTGCAATAGATGATCTCCCTATGGCTCTTTCTGCTTGATTAGTCCATAATTATATTATCTGATATTTTGCAAATTTGAAAGTCCGCAGTGCCTTTTGGTCAAGACCTTTGTGCCTGGCAGTAGGGTAGGTAGTATGCATCATAAAAATCACTACCTTATTACATGCAGTTAATAGGAACAGAGTATAATGAAATAGGAGATGTTGGTCCTAGTATGATTTAAGAGCTCTAGTAATAAAATAAGGTGTGCTCAAGCAGAATCGGTGAAACTCTTTTTCTCTAAAATGCCATAGAGTTAAGAGAGGGCCTATTTTGACAGAGTCGTTTATATAAACCTTCTTCTCTCATGCCGCAAAACCTAACTCGTCAGACATCAATGGCATAATGGTTTAATGAACCAAGATTTCCCCCCAAGTCGTAGGTCATAAGGAATGAAAGAAATAAAAATATTCCATTACTCATAAATATCGTCTTCAATAACACAATTTTAATAGTCTTTTTTCCTCCTGGCCAACTCTATTAGATTGTGTTAGCTTGTGGTTGAACTACTTTCACTCCTTATGGAGTTCACTTAGTCTGCTGAGAGGATTTCTTTGCCTGATCAGAGTTGAGAGCTCACTCTTCAAAGTAGACTGCTTACCTGCTCTAAGGTATGTTTTTTCTATAAAGCCTGCAAAATAAACAGACACTCTCACTGGCGGGATAGGGAAGCCAACAATTGCAGGAGAGGTAAATATATCACCTCCCTACAAATGAAAGGGATTCCACGAATAAAAGGGTCAACTAAATTAATACAGCGGCAAATCTTGAACTCCATTCTTCTTTATACTGCATTTGGATAAAGAATCAGTGGTGAGAGTGGTGATACCGGGAGGGTAGAGGGAAAGTGGGGTAGAAGAGGGGAACCGATTCCAAGGAGCTACATATAACCTCCTCCCTGGGGGATGGACAACAGAAAAGTGGTTGAAGGGAGATGTCAGACAGTGTAAGATATGACAAAATAATAATAATTTATAAATTATCAAGGGTTCATGAGGGAGGGGGCAGTGAGGAGGGAGGGGAAAAATGAGGAGCTGATATCAAGGGCTCAAGTGGAAAGCAAATGTTCTGAGAATGAGGAGGGAAACAAATGTATAAAAATACTTGACAGAATGGATGGATGTGTGGTTTGTGATAAGAGTTGTACGAGCCCCCAATAAAATGATTAAAAAAAAGAATCAGATGAATGTGGAAAAACTATAGTGCAAGGACTTTGCGGAATATGACTGCAAAAGGGTATATGAACCAGTGCCCACCCAATGCCAATGCCCTTTAGACTAGCCAATGGAAACCTGAGGAGACCTGGTGGCAGAGGTTTTATGCATTGGGTTGCTAACCACAATGCTCACAGTTCAAAACTACCAGCAGTTACTCAGAAGAAAGATGAGGCTGTGTGCCCCCATAGAGTTACAGCCTTAAAATTCCTCATGGTCAGTTATATCTGATCAGAATCACCTCCATGGCAATAAGTGTGTATGTGTGCTTCAGCACTGGGCACCCACTGGGTAGAGCAAACAATTAAACTGTGGGCTACTTAATCAAAGGTTGATGTTCAATCCACCAGAGGCATCTCAGAAGAAAGACCTGGTGATCTACTTTTGAAAGACCCTAGCCATTAAAAACCCTATGGAGCACAGTTCTACTCTTATACACACAGAGTTGTCATGAATTGTAATCAACTAGATGGCCAATAATTTGGTTTGGGGTTTCACATCCTTTACAGCCACAAACTGAAAAATATCCACTAAATGAAATTCAAATGAGACCGCTTTAGATAGGAGACAGATGAACGCGAAATAATCACAGAATGTATCATTACAAGCCATAAAGAGAAGCGAATAGAAAGCACATTAAGACCTCAAATGTCAACTAAGTCCTCATGGAAGAAGCACACTACTTGTATGAAATCGAGAGGACAAGAACAGAATTCAAAGATAACATAGGGAAAAAGTATTAGAGCCTAAATTGCAAAAGCCCAATGTGTGGAAGGTTGTGGGAGCCCCAACCCAATTTGCAGAGTAGCTAGTCAGATTAAGCCCTTGGCAGATCCCCTCTAGCCACAGGCAAGGGTCTTTACTAAAGACAGAGATCATTGTAGCTGTGACTATACTGGATCAAACTTGATACATGGCCAGTTGACCTCCCTCAACCCAACCTA